GGAGCTGGGTGGTGGTGGTGCATGCCTTTAATCCCAGCACTCAGGAGACAGAGGCAGGTGGATCTTGAGCCTCGTCTGCAGAGTGAGTTCCGGGACAGACTCCAAAGCTACAGAAAGAAATCCCGTCTCCCTCCCTCCCCCAAATTAAAAAGCCCTTAGAAACTAGGAACTGCATATGAGAAAGAACGCATGTATTTGTCTTTTTAAGCATAAGTTATTACACTCTCTGATATTTTCCACTTCCATTCATTTCCTAATTCAGTTTTTCTTTATGACTGGATAAAACTGCACTGTGTGTATTACTGTATTTGCATTATCCTGTCATCAGCTGACAAATATTTAGGCTGATTCCATTTCCTTGCCATTGTGAATAGAACAGCAATAAACATGGATGTGCAATTATCCCTGGGATAGGATTACAGGGTTGTCCTGGCTAGTTCTCTGTCAACTTGACACAAGCTAGAACCATGGCGGCAGCGGGGGTGGTGCTGGTGCTGGTGGTGATGCTGGTGGTGGTACTGATGGTGGTGGTGGTGGCAATGGTTGGGGAGACATTAGTTGAGAAATAGGGCGTTTTCTTAATGATGATCATAGCCCAGCCCATTGTTGGTGATTCCATCCTTGGGTTGATGATCAAGGTTCTATAAGAAAGTAGATTGAACAAGTCATGGAGAACAAGCCAATAAGCAGCTCCCCTCTATGGCTTCTGCATCAGTTCCTGCCCCGACTGCCCTTCTCTGATGAACTATGATGTGGAAGTATAAATGAAATAAACCCCTTCCTCCTCAACTTGCCTGGGGCCATGGTGATTCTGTACAGCAAGAGAAATATTAAGATAGTGTAAAACAAAGAACATGGTAAACAAGACAAACGGCTCCCTATAGAATGGGAAAAGATCTTCTCCAACCCCACATCTGACAGAGGGATGATCTCCAAAATATACAAAGAACTCAAGAAAATAGAAATCAAACTACCAAATAATCCAATTAAAAATGGGGTACAGACATAAATAGAGAATTCTCAACAGAACAATCTCAAATGGCAGAAAGACCATTAAGGAAATGCTCAACATCCTTAGTCATCAGAGAAATGCAAATCAAAACCACTCTGAAATACCATCCTGTACCTGTCAGAAAGGCTAAAATAAAAATTCCCATGATAGCTTATACTGGAGAGGATGTAGAGAAAGGGGAACACTCCTCCATTGCTGGTGAGAGTGCAAGCTTCTACATCCACTGTGGAAATCAGTATGGAGATTTCTCAGAAAATTAGAGATCAACCTACCTCAAGATCCTACAATACCATGGGCATATACCTGAAGGAGTATTCACACCACAAGGACATTTGCTCAACTATGTTCATAGCAACATTATTTGTAATAGCCACATCTTAGAAACATCCTAAATGACCCTCTACTGAAGAATGGATAAAGAAAATGTGGTATATTTACACAATGGAGTACTACTTAGTGGTAAGAAATAATAACATCCTAAAATTCACAGACAGATGGACAGTACTAGAAAAAACCATCCTAAATGAGGAATCCAAAACCAGGAAGACAGATATAGTATGTATTCACTCATAAGTGGATACCAGACATAAAGCAAAGATACCTAGCCTACAATCACAGCCCCAGAGAAGTTTGACCCCTGTTCCTGAAACAGATCAAGCAGATGCAGAAATCCACAACTAACCAATGGGTCAAGCTCCTGGAGTATAATTGAACTGAGGGAGAATCAAAAAAATATGAACAAAGGCGTCAAGACCATGATGGGGAAACCCACAGAATCAGCTGACCTGTGCTAGTGAGAGACCACTGACTCAGGTCTGACAAATGGGGAACCTGCTTAAGACCAAACTAGATTCCCTTAATACAGATGACAATGGTGTGACTGGGAAAATATATGAGGCCCCTGGCAGTGGGCCTGAGATCTAACACTAATGCACAAACTAACTTAGTGGAGCCCATTCTATATGGAGAGATACCTTGCTCAGCCTAGACACAGGGGTGTGGGGTGGAGAGGCACCTTGGTCCTCACTAAATGATGGGACAGACTTAGTAGACTTCCTAGGGGAGACCTTACCCTCTCCATGGAGCAGATGGGAGGAGGAGAGTGGAAGAAGTGGGAGGAAAGGAGAGAGGGGGAACTGGGATTGGAATGTAAAAAATAAATTAATAAAAAATTTACAAGACACATTCTTGCTCCCTTGAAACAATAAGGGTCACCAGCTTACCATGAAAGCAATTAGAACATCATCTTTGCTTCTAAATACAACATCTTAGCAGAACATTTTACATTTAATCTAGTTTGAACCTATGTTTTTATCAGCATTTTAATATATTATCTCTTTTTAAAAAATGCCAAGGCAGAATCTTTTGGGTTTATGTCCAGGAGTAGTATAGCTGGGTAATATGAAAGTTCTATTTTTTAATCTCCACACAATTTACATAATAGATATGTCAATTTACCCTCCAACCAAGAGTAATAAGAATTCTCCTTTCTCCAAATCCATGACAGCACTGTTGTTCATTGTTTCCTTCATGATAGCCATTTTGACTGGAATGAAATAGAACTTGAAGGCAGCTTTAATTTTGATTTCCTTGATGGCTAAGGTTGATGAGCACTTTTTTTAATACCATATTTATTGGGCATTTATATTTCTTCTTCTGAAACTTCAATTCCCTATCTCATCTTCTGATTACTGTTTTGTTTCCTTGTAATTTAGATGTTTTAGGTTTGTATATTTGGATGTTACTCTTCTGTCAGAATAATAGCTAGCAAAGCTTGTATCCCATTCGTAGCATAACTCTACTTGACTGTTGTGTACCAAAGGCTTGTTTGTTTGTTTGTTTTTACTTCTTGAGGTTCAATTTGTCAATTGTTGGGATTATTTTTTAAATGACTGCAATCCTATTTAGAAATGTCTTACGTATGCCTACACATTGAAATGTTTTCTCCGTTTTTCCTCTAGCAGTATCAGACGTTCAGTTCTTACAATTGGGGTCTTTGATTCATTTGGACATGATTTTTGTACAGGGTAAGAGATATGGATCTAGTTTGTCCTTGTATATATGGCATTCCGTTTCCCCAGCAACATTTGTTGAGGATATTATCTTTTCTGCAATGTATATTTTTGACATCCTTGTTAATAATCCAACTTCTGTAGCTGTGTGAGCTCATGTCTGATCTGAGCTCCACATTCTTTTTAATAATCTACACCTGATTATGTGCCAGCACCATGCTGTTTTTATTACTATTGTTCTGCACTGTAATTTGAAGCCAAGCATGGTAATATCTTTAGATATTACTCTTTTTGCCTAGTATTGCTTTGGCTACCTCAGGTCTTTTGTACTGCAGTATGAATTTAAAGGTGTGTGTGTGTGTGTGTGTGTGTGTGTGTGTGTGTGTGTGTGTTGGTGAAGAACGATGATGGCAATTACAGTGAGTTAGTACATTGCTTTTGGCAGAAGAATAATTTTCACAAGGTTAATTCGTCCAACCCATAAGTGCAGTAGGACTTTCAACCTTACCTCAATTTCCTTCTTTGGTGTTTTTATTTTTTATTTATTTATTTTTTGATTTTTTTTTTTTTTTTTTTTTTTTTTACTTCTTTGGTTAGATTTATTCCATGGCAGGTTTTTAAGATTGAGATTGTTTTCCTGGTTTCTTTCTTACTATGCTTATCATTGGCATAAAGGATAACCACTAACTTTTGTATGCTAATTTATGTCCTTCAATGAATTTTTTGGGGGGTATGTGTGTATGGAAAATGTTTATCAGTCCTAAGAATTTGTGTGTATGTGTGTAATGGTCTTTAGGATTTCTTATGCATAAGATCACACCATCTGAAAATAAAGATTTATTCCTTTTTTTCTTGTTATCCCTTCTATTTCCCCTCTCATCTTACTGCTACAGCTAATACTCTAAGCACGATATTGAATAGGAATGAAGGTAATTAGTCCCAATTTTTCTGGAAATGCTTTAAGTTTTCTTCCATTTAGTATGATGTTGGGATGTATGTTTGTGACCTTTATTACCCTGAGTCAAGTAAACTCCATTCCTAGTATCTTCCTGACTTTTATCATAAAGGAATGTTATACTTTGTGTAATTGCTGTTCTTGAGTCCATTTATGTGGTGACACATTTACTTGATTGCATATGCTCAACCATACCTGAATCTCAAGAATGGCATCAACTTGATTACAATGAGTGATCTTTTCAGTGTGTTCTTCAATTAGGATCTTCTGACTTTTAAAGTTTCCATTGAGAAACTAGTTCCTATTCTGAAGGTTTTTTATTTATTTGTGACTTCATGTAATTTTTTTTTTTTTTTTTTGTGCTTTCCAGAGTTTGGCTTTATTTTTGCAGTACAGAAATCATTTTGAGCCAGACATCATTGAAATCAAGGCTCTGTCAAATCAATACTGCATTGCAGCTTGGTCCATTGAAGAAGCCATACCTGGGATAAAAGGTGCTTCTATAACTTTATCTGCTTACCATAAGGTTCCTTTCCCCTTCTCAGCAATTGTTGTAGGTTAAAATACCACATACTGGCTTCCTCCAAACAACCCCCTAAGTCTAAAATTTGGCTAGAAGTTTACACCCACATAAACAAAATATGTGGCTACTATTTGGGCCCTGCTTTAATACTTGACATAACAAAATAGAGAAAACTTTGAATGGTTTCCCAAACCAAAGGATTCAATTTAGAGTCCCAATAACAGGATGGCACAAATTGTATAGATCTAGCTCTTGAGCAGAGGCAACACAATCGCAAAGGCTACACTGATTAAAAGATACAAGTACTGTATCAAGTTCTCTATCAGTATCAATATTTGTTTAGAACAGCTCCTTCACTAAAAAAAAAAAAAAACAAACAAAACAAACAAAAAAAAAGGCAGTCTGGTTAAACTAAACAGAAACAACCAACTCTGACTAGCCATTCCATGAAAACAAGTTAATACATACATGATATTAGAAAAGTGAAGGGAAGGAGTATTCACTGGTATAGCACTCTTCAATCTCCATTTTGATCACAAAAGCAGGCTTGCAATATTGATTTCATACAATATACATTATTTGCCAAATTTTAAGTTTGTCCTAATTACATAATATGTACTGCTATTAGTCTTCTCCATAAATGTCATTCTTCTTGCGCTTCATTTCTTCAAAGTCAAACTCAGATCCTGTCATTCTCTTATAGATATCTTTAATGTCATCACAGGTTGTCTCAAAGTGAGTGGTTGCATCATAGGCACGGGAAATAAAGATCTGGCTCTCTGTTCCCAAATCTTTAGGTACAAAGAGGTCACTGATGCTGACAAATTTCTGTTCAATTGGTTCCAAGAGCTCCAAAGCTGGTCTGATTTCCTTCTCTGGTTCCTTGGTCTCCACAGTTGTACTTACAATGGCAATATATTTGCCCTGTGCTGCCACATTGTGTGCAAAGGAGATCATGCAAACATAGATATCTGACTTACGGTTGACTTGGTTCTGTGGAATGATGATCTGGCAGGAATTGGCATCATTGGTGTTCTTGATAGGGTGGCTAAGGATACAGATCACTCTGATTACCTGGCCCACTTTTTCAACCCGATCTTTTACATAGCTGGGGTCACAGATGAGCTGCTTACAGCGAGCAATCTCTCCTTCAGACTTTACACCAACCACTTTTCCATTTTGCACAATGATTTCTTCAATTGGTTTATTCAACATGTAGGTACCTCCATATATAGCACTTAACCTTGCAAATCCTTGTGGCAATTCTCCAAGGCCATAGAGAGGATAAAGGTATGGGCTTTTACCATACCTTGCCAAAGATTCGCTGTAAAGTTTAATTCTATTAATGGTATCACAACACGGCTGATCTAAATAGTCATCTGTTCTGTACAGTGCAAGAGAATGGCCAGTAAAGTCTATAACATCTTGACCCAAATCAAACTTCTTATACACATCTCTCATTGAGGTCTTCTTAGGGTCAACTCCCTCAAAAGTTCTAGGATCTTTTTCATCAAAGTTGGCAACATAAACTAGGAACTTCCTGAAGCGGCGTTTTTCAAACAGTCCCATTAAGCTAGATGCCAGGGCTTCTGCTTCAGTGGAAGGAACCTTGTAGATTTTCCCCCCCTTGTAGACAAAGCTCCCTTCAATCACTTTGAAATCCATATAGCGAGTAACCTCTGTGTAAAGCAGCATCTTCACCAATTGACCATTGGCCATAAGGAACTTGGGAATTAAGTCAACATTCCAGTCTCTTCCTCTCCCCATTGATGCTGGTGGTTGTCCTGGTAACTTAAATCTTTTGTATAAATCTTCCAGTGGTGTTATCGATGCACTTTCTCCTCCATAGTACGGGTTCTGATCCATGTGAAGAACCTTCTTTCCGTTCACTGACATTATCCCCGACAGGATACACTCCGTCAGGCCGGTGCCCAGCACGATCACATCGTATTCCTCATTCATGGCGGCAGAAGGAGCGCACGCAAGGGCTCTGGGGCCACCGTAGAGAAAGAAGCGAGAAGTCCGGCCGCTCTCGGCTCCAGGAAAAAGGGAAGACCCGAGGAGATGAAAAGCCGAGCTGACTAGGAGGCGAGGCGGGCAGCCACCTCAACGGGAAGAGAAGCTCATGTAATTTTTTTCTCTTAGTTTTCACTATCTTTGTTTTAAATATTTAGTGCTTTGGGTATGGTATGCTACGGGGAGTTTCTTTTCTGGTCCTGTTTATTTGGTGTTCTGTGTGCTTCTTGTATCTGTATGGGTGTGTATTTTCTTGAGGAGGTTTTCATCTACAGTCTTGTTGAAGATCTGGCTTATGTCATTGACCTTGGATTCGTCCTCAACTGTGTTTACTATAACTAGTTGATTTGGTCTTTTCATGGTGTGACACAGAACCTGTTTGTGTATGTGTCTTTGTGTGTTTTAATTTTCATCATCTTGGCCTATGTAATCAAATTCACTTACTCTATCTTTAAGTCCTGATAATCTGTCTTCTACATGAGCCATTATAAGGTTTTCTTCTGAGTTTTCTAATTGGGTTATACAGCCTTTCAGCTCTGTCTCCATTTTAGATTGAGTTCTCTTCAATATTTCTCTCTTCATTAAATATTCATTTCATTCAGTAAGGTCTGGAGGTTGGGTGTGGTGAGGATGGGCCAAAGTCATGTGAGTTGACCAGACTGTTCCAGAACATAGGTAGTTGTCTCATAATCTTTGTGTTTCTTTGTTGGGATTTGCACATCTGCTGTCTGGATACATCTCCCAGTTTTAACTTTTCTCCATTTTCCCACCCTTTTTGCTTTATTTGTTTTGTATATGAGTTCTCCTAGAGTGTTGTCTTTACTGGGAATTAGATTTTCCTGCATGGGTGGTGGTGGATGGTGATGGCAGCATTAGTGTGGCTTATTAATTTACCAGCAGTCTCAGCCATACCTTGCTTCAGGAGACACTTGTGCACTTCCTTTGTGTCTCTGTTAATGCTCAGGGACAGCAGAGATGGGGTGACAGGGGTAGAAGGTGCAGTCTAGAGATTATTTAAAATTATTGCTATCGATGTTTAATTGGTAAAGTGGCGACAGAATAAAAAGAAGGGCAAATAATGTGTAAAATGGACTAAGAAAGAAAGTATATAGATTTAAGATGTAAGAGGTAATTGAGAGACAATTGTGGATGTAGAAATAGATAAGAGAAGATTTTGTAGGTAGAAATACACAAGGGACATCCATGAATGTCTTTTACAGTTTGGTAGAATTAAAATCCAGTAACTAAACCACTAACCCACAAAGCTGTAAATGTAATTTGCTAAAGGTAGCAATTTTAGGGGGAAGAAAGTAAATGCCTAAAACGCTAGAAATAAAACTTAAAAATAGAAAAAGTCATGTCATGATACAGAATGTATGCTCTGTAAGCAGGTAGTCACTAAGGAAATGGGGTAGCTTCCTTCCCTGGGACCACCATGTGACAGTCTCCATGGGTGGCAGTGAGCCCGGGGCTCCAAGTCACAGCGCTCCTTTCATGCTCCAACTCTGGTAGGGGTGGAGAGCTTGGAGCTGTTCCCTCTGGCTGGGAGCCTAGCCTGGGTTCCTCGGGCACAGTGTACGCTCTCACATTTTTGTGCTCCTCTGCCCTGGTCTATAGTGTTTGTTTTACCAGCCTGTTCTCTCTGACATTCACAATCCTGCTTCTTCATGGGTCATTTGTGGAGACCATACTGACCCCAGCCTGAAGATGGATGGCTGGACTGGATGGATGGCTACAGGCCCAACACCAACAGGAGTGGCAGTGGTGGGACTTGTTGTGGGTAGCAGGGGCAGTAGTTTTGTCAGGGAGCTGTGATGGGTGGGTGAACTGGGGCACATGGGTGGCATTGATGGTCTTCTGGTTCCCTTCGCAGTAGAAATTTTCTGGTGGTGCCTCTCCCACGGGGAATGCCTTGGCAGCAGTGAGTACAAATACTTGGGAGGGTGGCTATGACTGCCTTGACAATGGCAATGGGAACAACGAGAGCAGAAACAGAGGGTATGTGCCAGCTATTGTACCTGGGGAAAGTTCTTTAGAGTTCAGCGTGAAAGATGTTGAGGGAATCAGGCAGGAGCCAAGGGTGGTTTGGCCTGGGCTACAGCAGCCCTGGTCCTACTTTCCTTAACTGTCTTCAACCCACAGCTAAGATGCAGCTTCTTACCTCCCATGTGAAATTAATTACATGTGCATAGCATATGTGTGTGTATGCGTGTACTCATGAGAGGATGTGTGTATGGGTAGGGGGTGCAGAGGTTTAATTAGGCATCTTTCCCAATAACTTTCCTCAGTCTTTTTTTTTTTCTCTTTGCAATAGGATTTCTCACTGACCCTGGAGCTCACTGATTTGCCTAAGCTGGCTAGCTGGTGAGCTCCAGGGATCCAGATGATTCTGTTCCTCCAGATCTGTGCTCACAGACACATGCCACTCAGCCCAACTCTTAAATGCTGGAAATTTGAGCTGAAGTCCTGACCCTTGCATGGCAGGTACTTCTGACTGACACTGACCTGAGTTTGATTCCTGGTCCCCTCGTGATGAGAATACCGAATGGCATCCAGGCACAGTGACATGCACTTGTAGTTTCAGCGCCATGGGCCTCAGGGGGGGAGGGTCACTTTATTCCAGAGAAGTTCAAGACCAGCCTAAGCAGCATGGTGAGAGCCCAACTCAAAAGTACAGAGATAACAATACCAACAGGAAGCACAAACCACCTCCAAGTTCACAGCCTTTGGAGATATAGCTATTAATGGTTTAGAGCACAACTGTGCAACTCCCCCCCCCACTGCGGCCCGCCACAGAGATGGTTGAATATTTCATAACGGTGCATTTCTTCATATCTAAATAAGGAGGTTCTCAAGTTCAAGGACAACATGGCTGCATAGTGAGATTATATCCTAAAAAATAAAAGAAAATGAATGAAGAAAACTAAAAATCATTATAAGGATAATTTTGCTCACACTGGTTAATGCTTGCCTTTCCATTTAACAAATAATTTAATTTGGTAGTACAATTTTCATCATTATTAGGTATTTATATGCAACATGATTACTTCATATTTTTCATGGGGATATAATGTAATATAGTTAGCTGATTCTCAGAATCCTGCATATCCTGTCAGCTGGGACTACCACAACCGGTATTTAGCCAGTCCTTGCATATTTGACCCTTGGCTTGTTTACATATTTTTGTGTAAACTGTTTTATCTGTTATAAGTAACCATACAAATAAATATTTTTCACAACCTGATAATATCACTCAGATAAATTTCTAAAAATGGCCTTACTAGATTGAATAACATTTTTGCTTCTTACCTTTTTTTTTTTTTTCCATTTACTGTTGTCAATTTCCTTTCTCAACGAGGGCATTCAAGATGGCTGAATGAGTAAGGGTAGCTGGAGTCAAACCTGTGGGCTGGAGTTTGATCCCCAAAACATGCAAGGTGGAAGGGAAGACCAGTCCTCAGTATTGTCCTCTGACTGTCACAAAAGGGCCATGGCATGCACGTGCACACACACATGAATAAGTAATATTTTATGGTTATGAACTGCACTATGATAAGAAACATGGTCCTTGCTTTGGATGTAGCCGCAAGTTAATTTTGCTTTGGGGCTCAGAGCTCACTGCCCTGTCTCCTCTGCAGAGGGTGTTGTCTCACAGCAGTCTTTATTCTTCCTTTTTGGTTTTGGTTCATTTTTCAGAGGAAAACATTTTTTTAAAAAATTTATGTGTATTAGTGTTTTGCCTAAATGTGTGTATGTGCACTATGTATGTGCCTGGTGCTCTTGGAGGGCAGAAGAGGAAGTCAGATCCTCTGGGATTGGGATTACACATGGCTGTGAGCCACTGCTTGGGTTCTGGGAACCAAATCCAGGCTTTCCACAAGAGTAGCAAGTGTCCTCAACTCCTGAGCTATCTCCATTGTCCTTCAGAGGAAAATTTAAGAAAACTGGTACATACTAATTACTATACAAAACAGAATATTCAGAGTCCCAGAAGTGTTTTCCTGAGAAAAAGAATAATAAAAATTTGGGAGAATTATTAATGTTCTTGAGATTTCATTTTTAAGTGCATTCTGTTTTTGTTATGTTTGTGTGTGGCTAGGTGTGCCCGAGTGAAGAACAGAAGAAGGTGGCAGAACCCATGGGGCTGGAGGTAGAAGTATTTGCAACATATCTGATTGGGAGCTAGTAATCAGACTCCACGCCTCTGCAAGAGCAGTGTGAGCGCTTAACCCTGAGCCATCCCCTAGCTAGAGATTTCATTAAACACTTTGAAAAAATTGCATGTTTTTATTTAGTTAGTGTGTTCATTGTGAAGGTACAATTGTGCTACTGTGTGTATTGGGGGGGGGCAGATCACAGGACAACCTGTGGAAGTTGTTTCTCTCCTTCCACTATATGGGTTTCAGGAATTGAACTCAGGACATCAGACTTGGCAGCAAATGCCTTCACCTGCTTAACCTTTTCACAGACCCAGAAATTTCACTTTGAAAATACTAAGCTGTGACAAAAAGCTTTAGTACTTACATATACTGAACCTGTTCCTTCTTTCCCTTTGCTTTTCATTCATACGTTTCCTTTCCTTTCCTTTTTTCTGGTTGGCCTGACACTCAGAGAGATCTACCTACCTCTGCTTCCCAAGAACTGTAATTAAGTCAACACTCCTAGACTGTCTCTTACACCTGAAAGACAGAAAAAGTAATAGCACTGTAATATCTCTTATCAAGAATAGAGAGCCATTATGGAATCCTCAAATAACCTTTTCCTTCTCCTATCTTGGAAGCTCAGAGCCTGTAGTTTTGGGACTGCAGTGACTGGAACCGGAAGTCTTGTGCCCATCCTTATGGAAAGATGTACCCCAAAGCAAATACCTTTGGTGCAGTGACATGCTATGATGGGATTGCAGAGCTAACAGGCATCTGAGCAATCATCCCTGTCATTCCTGTTCTACCACTACACCAGACTTCTCTGGGTAAGTCCTACTAAAAACCCTTGCAAGCTAATTGTAAGTTAATTCCCCTTAATTCTAAGTGTGACTGAGGTGCAGTTGAGTGATTCCAGACTTTTCGATGCTAATCACTTGGCAGAACATAGAGTTCAGGAGAA